GAAAGAGTTGATGATGATGAAGTGGAACTAAATATAGATATCAAAGCAGAACAGGAGAAAGACCAAGATTTGAAGCTTATAATTGAAGCGTTTTGCGCCCTGCTTGGGAGAAGGTGTCTAGTCTAAGCCTTGTGACAAAGCACTATTGGGCACAATGGGACCAGTTAAAGCTTGAAGATGGTATTCCTCTCTGGAGATGGGAAACAACAGATGGGAAATTGACGACTTGGCAAACAGTTATACCGAGGAAGTTATGGGAAGTTGTGGTGCGTCAATCCCATGATAGTTTAACAGGAGGACATCTCCGAATTAAGAAGACATTGAGTCACCTACGACAGAGATTTTACTGGATAGGTATGAGGCAAGATGTGGAAGAATGGTGCAGAACATGCAGTACATGTAATGCTAAAAGGGGACCCAAGCATAAGGGATGCCCACCTTATGAAGAGTTGCCTGTGAATATGTCAGAGTTTGTGGAAGTGTTATTGGAAAGGATAGATGATATTCACCATCAAGTGCGTTCAAACTTGAAAACGTCTGCTGATTCGATGAAGCCATGTTATGATAAGAGATCTACTGAAGTCAGCTTTGTACCAGGAGACAAGGTCTGGTTGTATAAGCCCAGGAAGACCAAATGGAAGTCTTCTAACTTGTCTTCTCCATGGGAAGGCCCATACGAAATAGTGGATTGTCTCTCAGATGTGACTTTCCGGATAAAATGTGGTCGGCGAGGTAAGCCAAAAGTGATGCATGCCAACAGGCTTTGGCATTATCACGGTCCAGGACATTTCAGTTGGGACGAAGTGAACAAAGGAACAAATGACGCTGCTGAAGAAGTACCACCCCAAAAAGCCACTGTCGAAGAAGAAACTCTACTCAGTTTTGAGAAGGGAAACGGTGAAGCTCTTGATGAAGTTACTACCACTGATGTGACTGTTATCAACGATAGGACATTTCCTGATGAAGCAGATGAACCCCACATGAAGCAGAAGCCAACGAGATGGAGACCAGTATGGAAGAAGATACGTCCCGTAAAATTAAGAGACTTTGTTGAATTGTAATTTTGTGTTTGTTATTCTGTACAGTTAATTACGTTATTGTTAATTGTTATTGGTTTAATGTAAGTGGCTATTGTTCGGGACAACCAATACTAAGGAAGGGGCAGTGTTACGACATCGAGGTCACGTGACTAGTATCACACCATGTCATTCTCGAACATTCACGTCTTTTCCTTAAATCTCGTGATCCTTCTAGATATAGTGTAGTCTTGTATATATAAGACCGGCCACGAAGCGACTGTTGAAATTAAGTGTATCGAAAAGTTATATTCAGAAAGTATAAACCAGTTTTATTTAAGAAAGGACTTGTGTCGCTAAAGTTTCGTCGGAACGAATTTACGGAAAATTAACTAACGAACGGAGACGTAACATTATTATTGCCTATGTTTACTATGATTAACTCTTAAATGTTGAGGTTACTGACATGAAGATCGAATTTATTTATAGTAAAAAAACTTGGTTTATTATAAAAAAACTTGTTACACATTATTTCTATTTTTTATAGCTAATTTTGTTGATGATCTCCAGTAACCAAAAAAAACAAAAACTGAAAAGAAATTGGTAGTTTAAAATTAGTGTGGTCAACTATTACTCGTGTTAGATAAACACAAGTTCTGACTTCACACCAGCTAGGTTGGTTATAGGAAATACATTACCCAGCAATTCTTTGTGTGACTAAATATTACCTTGCTTAAAAAAAAAGAAGCTTTCTTGATCTCTGGTTAATAAAATAAGCACACATTTCTTCCTCTTTTGAAATGTTTGTGCTATCTTAATACTAAATTAATTGTTGTGAGCTTGCATATAAAACAATTTACTATATTTTACTCACTGATTGAGAATTCACAGAAAAATATGAAAAAAAATCTATACTATAATTCTTGACATTTATGCTTATGATAAGCTTTTTTATTCAAATTGTTTGATTATATTAACTGAAATTAATCTGTTTTATCGAATAGCCATTATGTATATTCATGAATTTCTGTCTTATTTTATAGAATTACAAATTGTATTCAAGATCTATTTTTATTTCCAGATTGAGTGGCATATCACCATTCCTAGGGGACAGCAAACAAGAAACTTTTAGCAACATAAGTGCTGTGGACTATTATTTTGATGACGAATACTTTAGCCATGTCAGTGAGCTTGCCAAAGATTTCATAGCTAAACTTCTAGTCAAAGATCCCAGGTAATCATTTGTACTTGTTTTGTGTATGTGTTTTATTCTGTAGAATTACCAAAAGTATATATTTTATATCCAACTGAATTAGGCTAGATAGAAAGTGCAGTATTTAGTTCAGTATTATTTAAAATTTGAAAGAGCAGTTCTTTTCATGCATTGTCCAACTCACATCTTTGATGTCTGTTATGTTCAAAACTTACAGAAAAGTACCTAGAGATTAAAAAAAGTATGGAGAGACTGAGAAATAGAAGTGAAGGCATATGATATGGTTAATGACCACTTCTTGATCAGTTAAATGATTTATCTAAATAATTTAATTTTTTGTTCTTTAAGTTGTATTGGGTGTAACTTTATCATTTTTTAATATTTAGTATATAAATAGGTTATTGGCCAGTACTCTAGGTAATACAGCTGTGAACTCTGTGGTTTAGCCATTTGAAAGAACTGATAACTTAAATTCAGTAATAAACTATGTGATGTATAAGTAAGTGTTTTAATGTACAATGCACAAAGAAAGTAATATTCATATCTCAGCAATGAACACATGAAACTAACAGATTTTGGAAGAGGATTAAGAAATGTCTCTGAATTTCTTTTTCAAATTTAAACAAGTATATTATATAATCACCCTTAAATTACCAATTAATTTTAATGTCCTTAATTTATTCTAATCTTTTTTTTTAATTTGGTTTCTATACATCTGACTGTTTAGTATCCTGTTTTTTCTATGTCTGTTTTTAATTTGGTTTCTATACATCTGACTGTTTAGTATCCTGTTTTTTCTATGTCTGTTTTACAAAATCTTTCGTAAACAAATCTGGAAATTTTAAGAACAATTTTTGTACTTGATTAGTTAAAGACAGTATTCAGTGATGAGGATTTTATCTTTATCAAAGTCTATAGTTACTGAAATATGTTCTTCAATATATCTATATATGTTTGTTTTAGTGACATCTTGTAGACCTTAGTTGTTAAGGTTGGAATATTCACTGATACCATTAAAGCATGCTAGAGAATATTTTGATATTAGTTTCATGTACAAATTTGTATCAGTTCATATATTCTTACTTTCATTCTTGACTTTTTGTTGTTTTTTAGGTGGTATGTTTCACTATCCTTCTTCTATTGAATTTAGATTCTAGTTCTAATGTTCTGCATTTTTTATTTTACATCAAGTTCACTTGACCTTTTTTCTTTTTGTTGAAAAGTGTAGTTGTTGTGCTTCTTATGCATTTTAAAATTGTAGGAGGACGATGTAGATTAATGAAGATAGGTTGAGATTTGTAGCAGTTTTTGACCTCCATTTACAGGCCTAGCACATAATTCCTAATCTAATGGAGATAAAAGTGAATGAAAATTTGTCTACTTAAATGCATTTAATGTAGCTGAAATATATTTTCCATCAAATAACTCGGCCTTTAATCTTTAAAAAATATTTTTTAAGTTTATTCATGCATATGTTACTTACAGGGGCAGATAAAGCTGCTGCTTTTTGCAAAACTCCATTCTCTGTTAATCTATTAATGTCATCTGTCAGATAAAGCTGCTGCTTTTGGCAAAACTCCATTCTCTGTTAATCTATTAATGTCATCTGTCAGATAAAGCTGCTGCTTTTGGCAAAACTCCATTCTCTGTTAATCTATTAATGTCATTTGTCATATATAAAAATGCTTGTATATTGGATCTCAGTGCTGATACATGGAAAAATACATTTTTGTAGTTTCTTTTTTGTTAGAATGGATAGCATTTTTTTCCATAGAATGTCTTCAACATCACTGAACTAGCTTTCACAGTGGATTAAAATATCCTATAAATATTTTGATAGTGGTTGGTGTGTTGAGATGTAATAAACAAAACTGGAACAAAATTTGAACTGCTTTTACTAAACCCATGATGGGTTTAAGCTGTTGGTGCATTGTAAAAATGACAGTAAGTCCATTTGTGTGGGATAGTTGTTGGTAGGGTGCTGCTGACTGGCTAGTCAGAAATTCAAAATTAGGAATGGCAGAAGACAGCCTTAGTAACTTTGCCATAAATACAAAATACAAATGCTAAGAAATAATTCCTTTTATTTTTAGTTTTAAACCATTTCTTTCACAGTTTATGCAATAAGAACTGAGTTTTTAAATTTTTAAGATGGTTGAATATATTTCGATAACCATTTATCCTATAGATATCTTCTCTGAGATAATGTAATTTCATAAAGTGTCAAATTGTACAAACATTCCCAGAAATTGTTATAAAAATAAGTTAGCTGCAGATATTTTTTTCCCACGTTCCCATAACTTGTCCATTGTGGCTCAAAATCAAAGGTGTGTGAAAAATATCATTTCAGATGTATCTTTTGTCTCGCAAACACTGCCAAATGAATTTGTTTCAAGATATTAATTTTCCTACCCTCTTCAACATTCCAAAAACAAACCGTAGCCAAGAATGATTAGTGAGATTATATCCCATCTCATATATTACATAATTATTTCTGTTGCAAAATCAAAGCCAGCGTAAAAGTAAACTGGTACTAAACTGACCATGATGAAAGGAAAACACGTAGGTTTAAAAAAATCAATTTAACTCAAAAATACGATTCCATATAACTCGATCGCTAGTTTGCCCCCGAAGAAGAAAGGTCTACTTTTTGAAAGCGCTGGAGTATAGAGTATAGTATTTTTGACCATGATGAAAATTACCAAGATGAATAATAGCGTATCAGTTTGGTTCTTGTGAGAACCTGCTAGTATAGTATATAAATATATATACAAACTACTTAAAATTGGTAATGTGTTTTTATGTATTACTGCGCGAGACACAGAAAATCAGATAAATATCAGAAACTTGAGATTAGCTAGAAATTTTATTATTATTATCATGTAAGCATTTAAAAATGAATTTGTTCATGCAGTTGAAGTAACTTACATAATATTAAATGTTCAGAGGTTAAACAATATTATTTTCCAGGTACGAAATAAAATAAAAGTTTTATGTATTGATAATAGTTAATGCTTTTGATTTAAATTAATATATAAAGTATTGGATTAGAATAGTTTAATGATACTAGGCATGTCGTATGAAATTGAATTATGCACGACTTTGAAATTTAATACTGATATTGCATAGAGCGTTAGGACATGTAATCCAAACTTGGAAAGTTTAGTTTTTTAAATACAACGTTTGATAAGAATTATTTATTTTATTCACATATGAAGGTAAACATGAAATTAAATGTTTTATGTGTAGATTTTCTAATGACAAACTGATTATACCTACTAGATAATGCTGTAGACCAGTATATTTGTCCCCAGTAGCTTAGCGGTAAGTCTGAAGGCTAATGAAGCTAAAAACTGAATTCGATACTTGTGATGGGCATATCACAGATATCCAGCTTATTGTGTAGCTTTGCGCTTAACGACAAACAAAACAGTAAATTTTAATTTCCTCAGAAAATTGTAATTAGTTAAGACTTAAAAGTTTTCATGATGCTTCTTTGTTAAAAATGATGTATTGCTCTTCTTTCTACGTTTGAAGCTGCATCGAATTTAAAAACCTAAGTAATTTGATGTTTCTGAAATCAAAAAATGTCCTCGCTCTTATATCCTAATTTTGCATTTGAGACTTAGAACTGTGAAAGCTATATAGCCTTGCGCCATCTATTGGTTTATTAACAAAATAGAAAATGCCAAAATCTTTATTTTATTAGAAACATTTATTTAAAGTGCGTTGGATGTTGTATAATACCAAGAACGTAAATAAGTGTATGCTTCCATTCTATGGCTAATTTTTAACAATTATGTCGTTTTCATATTGTTTGATATTATATACTTGAGTGTGAACTAAGCATCGAAGCCCATTGTGTTGCGTTGTGCTTAACTACAAAACAAACTTTTCTTTTTGTCACTAATAAAAAATAATAAATTTTCTTTGAAAATGTTTTTTCCGAAACATCAACAGGTAAAAGTTTTATACTATGAATGATGAATAATTATGTATCTATTCCAGATGTTACTTGTCAGTATTTAAATCTTTGTTTGCGGCTTTTGTAGATCTGCCTGTCACCCCATCCGTAAGGATTCGCGAATTTCTGTGGCGGGCCATTCAAAATGTTGCGCGCAAAATGCTTGCATCATATGATGTCAACCGTAGTTGAAGGATTAATATTCGAACTGTCCCTCTAATAATCAGATGTTACACACGTAATCAACAGTTTCCGGATCTGCAATAAATTGCCAGAATCACAAATTTTCAATTAGTTGCGATAGACCTACAGTGTATTTATTAATTAAATAATTAAGGTATATTAGAAAACACCGAGTTTTAAAATTAATTTCAGGAAATAGCAGACAATCTTTTTTGCATTAACTTATCCTTGGATAATCACAGCCTTGTGAAAGTCACAGGAAATTAAGGGGTTCGTCACAACAATCACTCCTTTAGTATATAAATAACACCATATAATTTTATAATCGCCTTTTGATTAAATACACCTTTCAATCGTACTACAAATGAAGCCAGGAACAGCAGTCTGGACAACCTTAAAACGACTTAAAGTCGTATGGGTGGATTCGTCCCTGATTCTTTCCAGGGATGATTTTGTGCCGATATTATAAGTTGAAGCTGCCTTGTTGTACCTGCAATTTTTCCAAAAAATTGATGGAGCATTTGTTTGTATTTGTATCTTTTTTGTTTAGTATAGCGACTTTTTGGAACTACTATAACATTTATAAATTTTCCAAGCTCGTAGACTCTAAAACTAACATTAAATAAACAGTAAATTTCAATATTTATGTAAATGTTAATCAAACAAGTTCAATGTATGTTTCGGAGTTTTAATCTTGTTTTAAACCGGAATTTGCTCTTTGCGAACTGGAAAACATTGTTTGCATTTTTTTTTCTTCAGAAAATGCTCAAAAGGTGTCGCTGTGGTGTTGCATAAAGATTAAACATTGCTGAGTACACAATTAAAAGAGATGATTTTCAGTTACTATTATTTTATCAAACGGGAAAATCTCCTG